AAGAAAAATTATAATTTATTTGCCCACATAAGACTAAATCTGGCCTTGGTAGGGAGAAAAAAACTAACATTCTCTAAATGTTTTACAATAAGAAATAACTGAATATCTTATATATAAAATTAAAGAACAAATGCAAGCTGATCAATAAACCATTAATTCATTCAACAAATATTTACTGAACACTGATGATATGTGATCTACGCAGTAAGAATAGGCAATAAACAAAACAAAATCCTGGAGCTTTCACTTCAGGAAGATAGAGTAGATGCACTTTTCCCTACTTCTCCGACTAAGTAATAACTAAAAACCCTGAACAACTCTGGGAGGCTTAGGCAGGAGGATCACTTGAGTCCAGGAGTTTGAGGTTGCAGTGAGCTATGATGATGTCACTGCACTCTAGCCTGGGTGACAGGCAAGACTGTCTTAAAAAAAAAAAGTTACATATAAAACAAACAAAAGAACATGCTGAAAGGTAGAGAGAAGATTAGGGGCCTCAGGGCTTGATGAATGACATGATGGTGAATTTCCTGGGTTTTCTTTTTACCTCATAAATTCCAGATTTGAAGATGAAAAAGCCATCTACCAGAAACATGACCCGATTATATGGACTACATAGTGGACTACAAGAAAGTTACTCCAAATATAACAAAGTAGACAGAGTGAAAATAAAAGGATAGAAAAAGCTATATCATACAAACATTAATGAAAAGTAAGCTATGTTAGTATTTGATAAAAGTCGATTTCAGAGCAAAAAAAATTACAAGGGACAGAAAGAGATATACAATAGTAAAGGGTAAATCCACCAAAACGACACAGCAATTATAAATGCATATATATCAAACAACAAAGCTGTAAAATATATGAAGCAGGATCTGACAGAACTGAAAAAAGAAACAGACAAACTCCAAGTTGAAGAATTTAACACCCCTCTCTCAACAATAGAACAACTAGACAGAAAATCAGAGAGTACAGAAGAACTCAACAATACCATTAACCAACAGAAGAGAAATGGTATTTATAGAACACTCCAACAATAGCAAAATACACATTCTTTTGAAGTACCCACAGAATATATAGCAATAATTGACCATAGTCTGGGCCATAAAACAAACATCAGAAAATTTTAGGCTGGGCACATTGGCTCATGCTTATAATCCTAGCACACTGGGAGGCTGAGGAGGGAGGACTGCTTGAGCTCAGGAGTTCAAGACCAGTCTGAACAAGAGCAAGACTCCCTACTAAAAATAGAAAAAATTAGCCGGGCATCATAGCGCATGCCTATAGTATAGTCCCAGCTGCTCAGGAGGCTAAGGCAGGAGGATCGCCTGAGCCCAGGAGTTTGAGGTTGCGGTGAGCTATGATAAGGCCACTGCATTCTAGCCAGGGCAACAGAGCGAGACTCTGTCTCAAAAAAATTTTTTTTACAAACTGAAATAATATATAGTATGTTCAATGATCACAAGAGAATCAAGCTAAAAATCAATAAAATAAAAGGAAAATTCCCAAACACTTGGAAACTAAAATAAACACTTCAAAATAATCATAGATAAAAGAGGAAATCTCAAGGGAAATTAAATTACAGAGAAATAAATGAAAATACACATATCAAATTTTGTGGGACACAGTTAAAGAAATGCTCAGAGAGAAAT